TGTTTAAAAAGTAATATAGCCATGGGCAGAACCAGGCAGTCTTCTTTCTGCTCTTTACAAGAAAACTGAGATTAAGTAAAATCATCACACTAAGGATTCAAAATTGGTAGCCAGCCATCGAGCCAAAAATAAACGCTAGAGATTTGGGATGCATTAGTATAAGCCTACATTATACATCCCACATTCGTCAAAAGAAAGCAAAAAAAAAAACCTGATAAGCTCTGAGAACATATTGCATAGAAATGTTGTACAATCACCTTCATGGGAGGTTTTGCAAGAAATGGCTTTATAGATAAGGTAAATCCAGGTCTGATACAGAATGTTAAACTATTATAGTGCTCTTGAAATCCTAAAAATCTAGGATTTCATCATGCCTACTATAGTAGCAAGCAAACTTGAACTTTCCAGAGGTCTGGACTAACACCTCATGCTGACTTGGGTTTATGGGAGTTGTAGTCCCAAACATCAAAAAGGCACCAGGTTGTTTGTCAAGGCCAATTTCCAAGTAGTAAAAACCAGCAAGACAAAATGTCAAGCTCTTTGACATACTTCCAGAACTCACAAGAACGTAGGATTACCTATGGCATTTCAGCTATTTTGCTGACTGACACATCATATATGTACGCTCTTGATGCAAAATAAAGAATATAGATAATTGAAACAGTACATTTATAATTCAGTGGCATCCGTATTTGGTGCTTTCATCTATTGGTGAAACTACTGCTGCAGGACTGGATTCTCTCTGCCATTCACCCCATTTCTGCCCCAAATGTCTGGGGGACATTAAGAAGAAAATTCAGAATGGGTTTAAGGCAGTGTTTCTTAACCTGCCTAATGCCACAACCCTCCGACCATAAAATGATTTTTGTTGCTACTTCATAACTGCATTTTTGCTACTGTTGTGAATTGTAATGTAAATATATGATATGCAGAATGTATTTTCATTCACTGGATCAAATTTTGCACAAATATAGTTAACCTACAATCAAAGAGCACTCTGAATTCCACCAGCGATTGAATTGAACCAAACTTGGCACACACAACCCCCATGACCAACAGAAAATATTGGATTTGGTAGGCATTGACCTTGAGTTTTGGAGTTGCAGTTCACCAATATCCAGAGAGCACTGTGGACTCAAATAATGACAGATCAGGACCAAACTTGGCACGAATACTCAATATGCCCAAATGTGAACACTGGTGGAGTTGGGGGAAATAGACCTTGACTTTTGAGGGTTGTAGTTGCTGGAATTTATCATTCACCTACAATCAAAGAGAATTCTGAACCCCTCCAATGACAGAATTGAGCCAAACTTCCCACACAGAACCCCCATGCCTTGAAGAGACTCACTGCCACGAGTCTCCCTCTAGACTTGCACCCTCTCCTTCACTTGCACATGCACACCACACTGCCATGCATCAAGCATGCCCGACTGCATCCATTCAGAATATTTTGGTCATATAAGATTGTGCATGGGTTGCTCCTTTATCATTAATCTGACTGAGGAAAATCTTATTTTGTGCTTTCTGGTATGATTACAACCAAATGATGCACCATGTAAGGTTTCCAACAAGAAATATTATTATCCTTGTCATTTCTGAAAACAATGTGTCTTCATATATGAACACTGTACCCAGCCTATTTCACATCTCTTTCTGTTGCGTGTATCCATATATGTGCCTTGAAGTCACCTGTCAACTTATGGTAACCCCATGAATTCCAGAGTTTTCTTAGACAAGAAATACGCAGAGGTGGTTTTACCAGTTCCTTCTTCTGAAAGGCAGCCTTCAGCACCTGTGTTCACTGGAAATCTCCCAAGTACTGACTAGAGCTGACCTTGTTTAGCTTTCAAGAGCAGATGGAATCTGGGCCCTTGAGGGTATTTAAGCCCTTTCTGACATGCAGTAATTTTCTTTCTCCACTTTATTCAATTTTTCTGACTTCTGTCAAAAGATTTGAATCCCAGGGTTTCAATCCTCACTTGACTATGAAAGTCCACTTCTCTCTGGCCAGAAAACTCTGTGGCCCTAAGGCAGAACCTACTTGAAGGAACATAACAACAACATTTATTATATTAAGAGAAAATATGACTCATTTGAAAAGATACTAATGCATGGTAAGACAGAAAGAAGAAAAAAAGAGGAAGACAGCATTGCACTTGGATATTTTCAATCAAGGAAGCCAGCCACTGCCTTGAGCAAGGTCTGAGCTAAGCTGGTGATAACAGGGTGGGCTGAAGGTCTTTCATTCATAGAGTCACCATAAGTCAAAGTCAACTTAATAGAAATGAACAACAGATTTTATCTTTACATGAAAGAATGAATGACTAGTTTTCTCCTCACTGAAAGCATTCTGGGAACATTGTTGTTTGATGAAACACATGAGATTTTCTGAGTCAAAAATATGCAAAACTGCATTTTTGGAGCAGTAAACATGTTGTTTGCACATAAAAACATGTGCATTTCTCTGGAGAATAATTTACCCAGAATAAGTTGAGATGCATGAATACTAAAATACAACAATGTAAAAGTCTCACTGTTTCATAGGTGTGCAACCAGATTGTTACCTGGGGATGGCTACAGAGAGAGCATAACTCCCTTGTTGCAACAGCTTCACTGGCTTCTGATCTCACCATGCTAAAACAGTGGATGTGGCTCTTAGTGAGACATGCCACATTATCACACAATGCCTATGCCTAACACCACTGGAGAAATGATACTGTGTTTAGCCAGGAAGTAGCAGCCAATAATGAAAAGACCCAGACAGTGACACCTTCAGCCCATCCTCTGTTCAGATATTGGCCAGCATTCCAATGCCTTAAATCAAGAAATAGCTTTCTAAGATCTACTGAGATACTCGCAGGAACACCTCAGCAAGCGAGAGTCCAAAGTGGCAGGCAAAAACCCAGAACCTCAACCCATGGCTGATACTGAATGAGAGACACAGTTACTATTTAATTTTATTATTATTATTATTATTATTATTATTATTATTATTATTATTATTGTATTGCACTCTTTAAACTTTACTAAGGCCCCTTCCAAGTTTAAAAAGTGCAATACAAAATGGTGCTCCATGCAGTCATGCTGGCCACATGACCTAGGAGGTGTCTACGGACAATGCCAACTCTTTGGCTAAGAAATGGAATTAGCATCAACCCCCCCCCCCTCCCCAGAGTCGGACATGACTAGACTTAATGGCAGGGAAAACCTTTACCTAAGTCCCCTTCATCACAGCTGAAACAGTGAGACTTTTCAGCTTTGAACTAGAATATATGGCAGGGTGGACTCAGATAGCTCAATTCAAAGCAGATATTGTGGGATTTTCTGCCGTGATATTCTGGGTTATATGGCTGTGTGGAAAGGCCCTTTGTGTGGGATTATTAGCCTCCTTGAGTCCCCAGGGGGAGAAAGGTGGGGCACAAAGTAAGTTCACAATAATAATAATTATTATTATTATTTATTTATTTATTTCGGACATTTGTATCTTGTCCTATCTCAATCTCTGCAGAGGGACTCAGGGCGGCTAACAACTGGCACGCCATGGTGCCCACAACCAGAAGCATAAATATACAATTTAAATAAAAACATTCAAACAGTCAAACAGTCACCAATTTAAGTCATCGTCCTAAAAGCAGTCAGTCAAATCCATTAAAGCCATTGCTTTGCCAGCAGGCCAGCCTAGTCTGCAAAGGCCTGATCCCATAGCCAGGATTTCACTTGTTTCCGAAAGGTCAGGAGGGATGGAGCAGATCTAATTTTGCTTGGGAGGGAGTTCCACAGCCGAGGAGCCACCATAGAAAAGGCCCCATCCCTTGTCCTCACCAAATGCAATTGCGATGATGGGGGGACAATGAGCAGGGCTGCCCGAATGATCTTAGGGTCTTAGGTCCCAATCACAAAAATCTCAATGATAATCAGAATAATAACAAGAGGCTGTCATGTTACCTAGGGCCCTTTAGGTTTTCCCTTGACATTAAGTCCAGTCGTGTCCAGGCCCATAGCCAGGATTTTGATTCGGCGGGAGCTGAGTTTGATTTGGGGGGGGGGGGCTGAGTCTGAGTGAAAGAGGGTCTACCCTAGCAAACCTTTTGTATCGTTACCCCAATACCCCCATGCATATGCGATATATTGAGCATGGTGATCAGATCATGATATGAATAAACATAACAGTTTAAATAATGTACCAGTAAGGCCTTTTCGCAGACCACCCTGAGAATTTCGGGGGGGGGGGGGGGGCTGAAGCTGAAGAGCCAGCATTGTCCATAGACACCTCCAAGGTCATGTGGCCAGCATGACTGCATGGAGCACCGTTACCTTCACACCGGAGCGGTACCTATTGATCTACTCACATTTGCATGTTTTCGAACTGCTAAGTTGGCAGAAGCTGAGGCTGACAATAGAAGCTCCCGCCACTCCCCGGATTCGAACCTGTGACCTTTCAGTCAACAAACTCAGCAGCTCAGCGGTTTAACCCACAGCACCACCACGGGCTCAGGGCCCTTCAACACTGCCCTATAACCCTTCAACACAGCCCTATATACCAGAATATCATGGCAGAAAATCCCACAATATCTGCTTGGAACTTGGTTTTCTGAGTCCACACTCAGATAATGTGGGATTTTCTGGGATATAGGGCTGTGTGGAAGGGCCCCTACTGCTCTAGAAATAGCAGCCAAGCAAGGACTTGGGCAAAGGACACTCTTTCAACCTCAGAAGAAGGCAATGGCAAAGCTCTTTGGAAGGAATCTTGCCAAGAAACCCTACAATAATTCCCCTTAGGATTGGGATTGATAGGAAATGACTTGAAGGCACACAACAACAACAAGAGAGTCTACACCAGGCATGGGCAAACTTCGGCCCTCCTTCCAGGTGTTTTGGACTTCAACTCCCACAATTCCTAACAGCCTACCGGCTGTTAGGAATTGTGGGAGTTGAAGTCCAAAACACCTGGAGGGAAGGCCGAAGTTTGCCCATGCCTGCTCTAGGAGATGCCTTACCGCCAGGAGAGAAAACGCAGCCGTTACAACCGCGTTGCGCACAGACATCCTTTCCCCGACTTTCCTTTCTGCGTCTCTTTAGGGAGCGATGGAGAAGAGAAGGCGCTTTCCCTCTTTGCTTTTTGGAGCCAGATGGGCTCAGCTCCGGAGACCAAGCCTTGCGGGGCTAGAAATCCCTCGAGAGAGAGAGAGAGAGGAGCTGCAGGAAGAGCAGACAGAGCAACTACTACACCTTAAGAAGCAGGAGGGAAATAAATACTCTTGTCTTGCCAAGCCACACCTCCTGCCCTTCTCCTGCCTTCTCTGACACCTGCTGCTCTTATTTCAAGGAAGAGATTGGGATCTTCAGTTATTTATTTCAAGCAGGGGCAAACTTCCTCCCTTCCTCCAGGTGTTTTGGACTTCAAGCCTCTCAATTCCCACCCAATTGATGGGCAGTTTGTGGTTGCAGAGATCGTGGCTCCAAATCAGGCCCATCATTTTGAAACACCCTGTAAGGTCTCAATAATAGTAACTCAGAGAGGATAATCATAGGGGTTGGACTGGATGGCCTATGAGGTCTCTTCCAACTCTTTGATTCTATGATTCTGTGACTCATAGAGTTGGAAGAGACCTCATGGGCCATCCAGTCCAAGAAGCAGGAAAATTGCATTCAAAGCACCCCCAACAGATGGCCATCTAGCCTCTGTTTAAAAGCTTCCAAAGAAGGAGCCTCCACCACACTCCAGGGCAGAGAGTTCCACTGCTGAACGGCACTCACAGTCAGGAAGTTCTTCCTAATGTTCAGATGGAATCTCCTCTCCTGTAGTTTGAAGCCATTGTTCCACATCCTAGTCTCCAGGGCAGCAGAAAACAAGCTTGCTCCCTCCTCCCTATGACTTCCTCTCACATATTTATACATAGCCATCACTTCTCCTCTCAGCCTTCTCTTCTTCAGGCTAAACATGCCCAGCTCTTTAAGTCGCTCCTCATAGGGCTTGTTCTCCAGACCATTTTAGTCACCCTCCTCTGGACACATTCCAGCTTGTCAATATCTCTCTTGAATTGTGGTGCCCAGAATTAGACACAATATTCCAGGTGTGGTCTGACCAAGGAAAAATAGAGGGGTAGCATTATTTCCCTAGATCTAGACACTATGCTCCTATTGATGCAGGCCAAAATCCCATTGGCATCCCATAATATTCAGTAATGGTGGTTGAATTTGTGCCAATTTGCAATGTAGATGCACCCTCAAAGTAAACAACTTTTGGAGCTCTACAGCTGCAGAAAGAATAGGTGCAGAATTATCAATATAGATCATTAAGATTGTCAGTGGTAAATTCTCACTGCCAAACCAAACAGAACATTGAGAAGAGTTGGGGTGTTTGGAATGGAAGTTGCCTCACTTTCCTGTGCTCATGCACTCTCTAGCTCACTCTCTGCTCTCACCACTCCTCTCTATGAGTGGGCTTTCCTCCCCTCCATTGTCACCAGCCGACTGCCATGTACTGTCTAATTTTAATTTTTAAAATGTGTATGGCACAATATATATTTATATACTGTATATGAACTCCATAGAACCATAAGAAATGCCAAAAAGTTCATTACTCATTCTTGAATTTCCCCCCTAAAACCCCCCCCCCCCCCCCGTGATTCGTGCCCCACGTTGGGAATCGGGGATATACAGAAAAGGGAATTTCAGGACATGTTTCTTTTGGCCTGTTTGTATGACCTACAACACCTGCAAAAACTCCCTTTTCTACATAACCATTACAGGTACAGGAACCAAGGCCATTGCCAGAAATAAAATGGAGAGGGCAGTTTGATTTTTTAAAAAATTGAATCATGAAGAGTAGTTCCATAATACAAAATAATTTAAATAGTATGGTTCATTCTATATAGCAGTCATTAAATCAATTTTCTGGTCTCCTTCATGCGGGGGGGCTTCAAACCCCCCCACCCCCCACCCCCCACCCCATGCCTTAGGCTTTGACTGCCAGTTATAGTTGGGCCAACTTGGTTGTTTTCACTATATCAGCTATTGCTGCAAGTAATTACTGTGAATAAATCGTCAAAATTTGCTAGTGATAGTGCTTGCAGTTCTGGATGGACTCATTTAATTTTTGCCTCTCATAGACTTAGCATGGGGATTTGGTTACCCAATTAAAATTCATGAGTAAACCAGATATATATATATATATATATATATATATATATATATATCCTAAAAAACTTCACTACAGCTCTGCCAGGAATCATCTCTACTTTCTAATGTGGTAACCTTATCCAAAATGTTTGTCTGATGCTGATTGAGAAGTAGCTCAGCACATAAACAACCTATGGAATGTAGAGATGGCTGCAGACTTGGACAGCTTTAATGGGGGATTAAAGATATCCGTGGAAGATAAGGCTACTATATGTAGCCATAAATCATGCCAGTTAAACATTACCTCCAGTAAGCAATACGCCTCTGATAATTAATTCCGCGAACAGGAAGGGAATATAAGGATGCCTTCACCTTGAGTCCTGCTTGCATGCGTCTCCAAAAGCACCTGTGGCCACTGTGTGAACAGAAAGCTGGACTCAATCTACAGCCTGGCCTAAACCAGCATGGATGTACTTATCAAGATTAGAAAAGTGTAATCATTTTGGAGAAAAAGTATATGTGGAATTTTTAAAATCCATATAGTTAAGAGTCTCTCCATCTATATAAATAAAAATGTAATGTTTGTTTGTGGGATTAACAGAACTCAAAAACCACTGGACGAATTGACACCGAATTTGGACACAAGACACCTAACAACCCAATGTATGTCCTTCACTCAAAAAAATTGATTTTGTCATTTGGGAGTTGTATTTGCTGGAATTTATAGTTCACCTATAATCAAAGACCATTCTGAACCCCACCAACGATGGAATTGAACCAAACTTGGCACACAGAACTCCCATGACCAACAGAGAACACTGGAAGGGTTTGGTGGGCAGTGTCCTCTGGTTTTGGCGTTGTAGTTCACCTACATCCAGAGATCACTGTGGACTCAAACAATGATGGATCTGGACCAAACTCTACACGAATACTCAATATGCCCAAATGTGAACACTAGTGGAGTTTGGGGAAAATAGAATCGACATTCGGGAGTTGTAGTTGCTGGGATTTATAGTTCACCTACAATCACAGAGCATTCTGAATCCCACCAACGATAGAATTGGGCCAAACCTCCCACACAGAACCCCCATGTGGGCCACAGCAACGTGTGGCAGGGGACGGCTAGTGTAAACATAAATATGTTACAACTAACCTATTTCCCAAGATAGAAGCTAATCTTATTCCAGCATAAATTGATTAAATGTTCACTTCTCTATACTTCTTGAATCCAGGAAAAGAATGTACTGTAGGTAGCTTTTGTGTATTATCAGTTTATACATTTGTAGGCAAGAGATGACATGGCTCTTCTGAGAACAATGCCCAGCATTCGGCACCATTGGCGATGCTGGCTATGATAGATGGGAGCTGCAGCCCAAACCACAATTTGGGGGTCATGCAGTTCCTTCTCCTGACCTCGGGGCATGGAGGTTGAATTAGAATTAACCATGATGCTGGGGTGGAGAGGACTTTTAACCATTTTCCCTACCATGTTTTTCAGATTTACATTGTCCTGGATTTTGTCCCATGATGGGAAGCAAACAGAAATATGATTTATTGGAAAATTGTGACAGAGGTATACACCCTTCTCCCAAAAATAACCACACATCCATACACACCCCACAATCTGGTTGCTGTTGACTATAGGAAAGAACTCATTGGAGATGGTGGTTGTAATCTCCTATGTCATGTCTGTTAGAAGATAGATTAACTTGAATGTAGTCACTTCTTACCGAAGAGTACTGAACACCTGAAAATTGAGCAGAACCTAAAGGACTTTGGGAAACAATATAGAGAGGGGTATTGTTGAAGGCTTTCATAGCCAGAATTACTGGGTTGTTCTGTGTTTTCTGGGCTGTATGCCATGTTCCAGAAGCATTCTCTCCTGTTGTTTTGCCTGCATCTATGGCAGGCATCCTCAGAGGTTGTGAGGTCTGTTAGACTTCACAACTTCTGAGGATGCCTGCCATAGATGAAGGCAAAACAACAGGAGAGAAAGCTTTAGGAAAATGGCCATACAGCCTGGAAAACACACAACAACACAATATAGAGAGAGTTGATCATTCTATACCAAGCTCTCTTTTTACACAGATGATATCATGCTGTCATTCAGCCACTCCATTCTTTCATTTATCTTTTGTGTCTGACTGATGGTGCCCATCTGCAGAAACAATCTGATTGATGAGTAGAATTTCTGCATTAGAAAACAAACACAGTTGCTGGTACAAAATAGATCCACTGAGACTGGTTCCACATGTGGCCGCAAGCTATGTCTTGACTGTGACACAATTCCATTAAATATTTGAACATAAAACTGAAATAGGATTTATCACCATTGTTTACGTTAAACAGTGGTGATGCTATGTAAAAGATGTAGCTTTTCTTGTGAGCAGAGGCCGGCTTGAAACTCACCGCTTTTTTATAGTTCAGTGTCTTAATCTTTACGATGTTGTCAAGTCACTCAAATAGCTTGCTTAGGGCTTTGGGGCTTTTGCCATTGGCGCCACTTAGGCTGGTCAGTGAGCACAAATTCCCAACATCAGCCATGTACCTGGGGAGAGGGGGAGGAGGGAGGCCATTGTCCCAAATAAGAATTCTGTCCTTTCCCCATTCAAATTTTCTTCAATCCCCAAACTGTTACCATTGCAGAAAGTAAAGTGCAATAAGATATGACAGGGCAGTACAATTTATTTATTTATTTACTTATTTACTTTATTTCTATACCGCTTTTCTCAGCCCTCAGGCGACTCAAATGTATATTATTTTAAAATGCCTGTTTATGTTTTACCTTGATGGCTTACAATGTTTATATTTATACGTTTGACTGTTGTTTGATTTTGTATTGTATTCTTAACATGTTGGAAGCCACTTTGGGTCCCCACTGTGGGAGAAATCAGCATATAAATAAAGATTTATTATTATTATT